GCATCGAGGTTCATCTTGAGCGAGTCTCAAGTTCCACTCTAGGTAGAGGGTTACAGAATAAGAGGTACAATTTATGATTATAGATGGGGAAGGTTACAGTTAACCTAAGGTACAAACAGATTAAAATTGTAGTGATCGGGGAAATATCAATTTGGGAGTCGGTTTCACAGAGCAGTAGTCCCACAAGAAGAAGCCACTTGAGTACTTTTAACTTATACATTATCTACAATTTCAAAAGACTTTAGAAAATATTTCAATTATACAATGTAAAATTTCAAATATATAAAAGCTCAGATTTACTTACGGGTCTGTTTCAGAATCACTGTGATTTCGACTACTACTGTTGCTCCCCTTCTGTCGTCTTGCTCGTAGTTGTGCCAGAAATTCAGATTCCTGGTCTAATCTTCGCTTTACTTCTTCTCGCCATCCATCCACATCATCGGATGTTTGCGTCGGATAGTAACCCTCCATTTCTAAATTTCCTGCAATAATTCAATCATCCATGAAAAATATTTTCCAAGCCAATGTAAACCCATAAAAATTTACTGATCTTAAAAATCCATATTACAAAAAAAAAAAAAAAAAAAAAAAAGAAAAGTAAAATAGACATCCTACAGACTAAAATAAAATATTTGTTGATATAAGGACCAAAGTTAAAAAAAAATGCAATGTCTGTTTTATTTGATACTAACAAATACATAGCTTGATAAACCAAAAGTGCTTTTGTCCACTTTAAAGAATTCCTCCTGGGGCTTCACAAACTTATTCTAACATTCCTCTCATTTTTCAAAACTCTCTGCAAAATCCTCTTTTGGGATCCCCTCAGAAAAAATATACATCAATCTGGAAATCATTCATTTAATATTAATAAAAAAAGGAGCCCATCTGGGGTCTTAGTCCACTTCAAACTCACAAACTTATTCTAACATTCCTTTCATTTCCAAAACAGTTGGATCTTTTATGATCTCTATCTGCCCCATAATTCTGTTAGTTTTAATCCTTAAACTTATCCATGGTCTGAAATCTCCACCTTTTCAACACTGATTTCAGCTTTGAAAAAAAGCCAACAGTCAAAGTGAGCCAAATTTAGACCATAGTGAAGCTGAACAGACCAGGGTGATATAATGTTTCACCTCCAAAACAACCTCCATGAGACATCATCATTGCGGAGGCAACAGTCAGCAGTACCCAGTCTCACTAACAGGCATCTCACTACCAACTGAGGAAAACCGTATGATGAGTGTCTGCTCATGCATACACAGTGTATTCCACAATGATTGGCTGCCAAGTTATGTCAGGGCTGAACAACCATTACTTGAGACATTCAAAATGTTCTGATACTATCCAGACAGACATTAATGGAATGCAACTTTGTTTAAATCAAATTATAATGGACAGAAAATAGTTGGGTTCAGAGACAAGGACTCAAACCGATTCAAAAAAGTGATAATAGAGATTTCTTTTAATTTTACAATATTCTATTATATTCTATAATTCTATATATAGTTTCTCTGTTCTTAATACATGATATAATGCAAAAATATCACAATTATAAAATCTATCAATAATTATATTTATACTGGGACTCATGCATGGAATTACAAGTAATCCATAATAATATTTGAAATTTTGAAATGATATTTATTTCTGGCATTTGAATTTTTTATAACTATTTCTAAATCTTTGATTGACTTTCAATCATTCCGCCTCACCTGCTATCCTCTTCTGCCACACATGAGGCACACTGCACCATTTGGTCTAAGGAATACTAAACTTGAAAAATTATCTATCCAAAAAATTTACCCTATTGTGAACCACTATTTAAACAGTGCCATCTCATGTCTAACTACATATGATGATATAGAAAGTTATGACAAAATCTCAAACAATGTTGCCCATTTTTTTATAATACTTTAAATCAATAGATTTCAAAGCTAAACTGACTAGCAGGTTTGTTAATTGTATCAGGGCTGTAGCAGGGACAAATATTTTTTTTTTTTTGTGGGGAGGGCAAAAAAAATTTAGAATTTACCCTTAAGTTATCAAAGGGCAACAATATGGTTAGTGGCGAAAACATTTAAAATTTCCAGTACCTCTAGATTGGCAGAAATTATCTTTAAAATAATAGAGAACCATCTGTGTTACAAATAAACGAATTTCTTTCATTGAGGGTTTATAAAAGTTATATTCTTTCCTGCTTTGATAGTTTTCTTTCTTTATTGTATTTTCTTAAAATAAAACCTTGTAAAATAAAAATACTACAATTGGTAAAAAAGTTTGGGGAACCTTGCCCTTACCCCTGGCTGCTATGGCCCTATATACAAATGAAGTATGCATAAGTCAATGGAAAATGATTAGCAACTTACCAGTAGCTCCCAGCATTCCATTAGCACTACTTTCATCATCACTACCACTGCCCTCTGTAGAAGAAAGAAGTTTTTAGCAAAATTCAATCAAATATCATTTTCTCTTTTTTTTTTAATATTAAACCATTAAATCATTAACATTACATTTATGAAGCTAAAATTTGTCTATTGATATTGAACAATCATGTTGGGTAATAATTTTTTAAATTTCTCTTCTAAATTTAACTTATAGTAACAAACAACAATTTTAATTCAATTCTGTGAACATTTCCAAAACTGCTTTGAATTGCAATGATTTACTGAATATGGTTTTCTGAAAATCAAGGTATTTATATAATCATAGCACTAACAGCTTGTGTAAATTATACAAATTTGATCTTGACCTTGCATCTCAGCTTCAATTATTTCCACCATTTCCGTGCTTTTTCTATCAATAATTTCATGATAATTGTTCTGATGCACTTTCCTCTTTGATACCTAGATTTTATAAATTTAAGTGCAGTACTAGATTGGCAGCAAGATCTCATTTTACAGTTGAAATGGCTAGATGTAACTGCAAGTTCTATGCTAACAGTTTCTTATCTCATAATTCTTGCTTGTGGAACTCTCTTCCAGCTTCTTGCTTTCCAGTCAATTTTGATCTACAAAAATTTAAATGCAATGTCAATCATTATCTTCTCTCTTCTTAATTCTTGTTTTTTTACTGTCCTCTCTCCTTAATAATGTTTTCTTATTCTCATATTCTCTCACACTCAGTAACCCCTTATGAATTTAAGCACACTACAAGATTGGCAGCAAGATCTCATCATTTTATAGTTTAAATGGTTAGATGTATCTGTAAGTTCAATATTGAGTTTCTTATCTTGCATTTCTCACGTGAATCTTAAAACTTCTTGTTTTCCAACTTTGATTTTCAAGAATTTAAATATAATGTCAATAATTATCAATTGTATTCTTAATTCCTGTTCTTTTATTGTTTTCTATACTTAATAGAGATTTTTTCGCATATTCTATAACACCCAGTAACCCCTTGCATCTTAGTATTTTTATTGCCTTGCTTGAGGTGAAATGATTAAAAAAAAGAGAAAAAGAAGGAATCTTACAATAGATTTAATGTAAACCAATTGGCACATTTTCATAAGTAAAAAATGACAATGTTTTCATTAAAAAGAAAAAAAAATTAACACAGAAGAAAATTCACCAAAAATCTATAAACATAGAGTAAAGAGTGAGAGTTCATTATTTTCAAATTTTTCCCTCAATCAGTCTAATAGGTTGTGTTATAAGTAATTTCCATTTTTCAGAACCATTTATATTGTAGCAAACCACCCTCATTTCATTGGTGAGATGTAAACTCCACTCAAGCAGCTTCTTTCCAAGAACTGCTGTTTTGTGGAACTGACTCCCAAGATGATGCTTCCCCAATCACTATAATATTAACCTGTTCAAGTTTAGGGTTAATCATTATCTTCTACACATACCCATATAAACTGTACCTCTTATTCTGTAACCCTCTACCTCAAGTAACTCTTTGGCCTTGTACAGGGTGAACATCATTGTTAAAAAAAATCATCTTAACTGTTCATTAAATATATCATAATAGGTGATGAAAAATGGGTTTCACAGGTCAGTGTTTCAATGCAAAAGGCAGTGGATTGACAAGGATAAATATCCATAATCGACTGCAAGATCTCCATGGAAGAAAGGTAATGTTGTGCATGTGATAGGACCATTGGGGTATTATTCATTTGGAGTTATTCAAAAACAATGAAACAATAAATCCACATTTATACATTGAGCAACTGCAACATGTCCATAAAAGCACCCTGGCTAATCAATAGGACAAATGCTGTTCTCCTCTATGGCAACACAAGGATGCATACAGTAAGAATAACACAAGAAAAAATTTTGGAACTCAGTTGGTTCTACCATATCCACCATATTCACTTGACCTTTCATCAACAAATTATTACCTTTTTCGATCACTGCAAAAGTCTTTGATGAGAAAAACTTTCTCTAATGAAAGCCAAATTCAAAAGTTCATAAAAAATGCCTGTTCACATCAAAACTTGCAGAATTTTACTTAAAAGGTATGAACCAGTTACCTGATAAGTGGTAAGAAGTCATTGCAAATAATGGTGAATATATAATTGAATAAAATGTAATTGTTTTTAGTTTTGGAAAAATAAATTTGCTAAACAAAAACGGAAATTATATATGACTCCACTTGTATTAAAGCATTTTGTTATTACATTAAAAATAAAAAAATAAAAATGTCACATTAAAATTTCACTGACTTTTAGCATTAACAGAAACCAATTACCACATATTAATTATTCCATCAAATCAAAAGCTTACCATACTAAGAAATTGAAATTACTAGAATTTCTTGGAAAACCACAAAGTATGATTCTTAAAGCCCTTTTAATCATTTGTTTGAAAGAAACAGAAGCTGATAATCTTCATACCTGAATTCAGTTCTTTGACTAGAGAGGACATTGCATTGGTCACAGAATCGGCAGCAACAAGAAGGTCATTGCGTAAATTGCGAACGCTGGAAGAAGGCCCTGTGCCAACTTGGCTAAAAACTTGGCGCAAATCTCCACCAACTGCCAAGCCTGCCAGGGCCTCCATAGGTGTGCTAGGAGAACTTCCTTTGCTGGGCACAGTTGCAATCGAGAGTGACCTCCACCTCGAGATCGAGGACTACTGTTGGGTGTCGGCGTGGAGAACTGTGGTTCTGAAAGAAAAGAGAAACAGTCTTTAATTTTTAAAATTAATAAATTTTTACAAAGGTTCATTAAGAACTTGGTTTACACTTAATAAATAAAATAATCGTGAAAGTTAAATGAATTACCATATTTTTCAGTGTATAATATGCATTCTTATTTTGAAGAAAGTTTTGCCGAGAATCCAATGAAAACTGAACTATCAAATAAGCAATTACCGGTGTTAACTACTTTAAGTATTCTGTTAATATGCATTTCACATTTTAAATCCACACTATGGTGAAATTGTATGACAAAGTAGAAAGTTTTCTTGTGACACATTTCATCCGATGAAGTCCTAAAGGACAAAACGTGTCACAAGTAAACTTTTTCCACTTTGTCTCATATATATATTATTAACTTTGGTGTATAGGATGCATGCAAATTCTTGTCATTAAATTTTAAAGTAAAAAAAGTGCATCTTAACAATATGTTATATATTTTACATTATTCTTATAAGTCTGCATATATTTTACATTATTCATATAAGTCTGCATATATTTTACATTATTCATATAAGTTTGCATATATTTTACATTATTCATGTAAGTTTGCATATATTTTACATTATTCATATAAGTTTGCATATATTTTACATTATTCATATGTTTGCATATATGGGTGATACTATTTGAAGAGTTGGTGAAAATTTCTTGACCCTATCCATTTCACAAAATCTGATAAGCAGAAATTTTTTAGAAGAACATCTTGGTTTGGTTTGGTTTGGTTTGTTTTATGGCATATCAACCTCAATGGGTTATTTAATGCTGACAAAAATTTTTATTGCTGGTAATTTTTTTTTTTTTAATATATTGCTGGTAATATATTTTTTTTCAAAAATGGATTACTGGTAATAATTTTTCTTCAAAAATTTATTACTGGTAATAATTTTTTACAAAATATTTCTGGTATTAAAACCTATTTTTACACTTTCATAATGTTTTGACCCTAGTTTGAGGGGGGGTTGACTATTTACCCATAGCTGGGCCCCAACAGGTGCAACCACTCCAGGTCAGGGTGAACCTGAGAACACCAGCAATTAAGGGGTGGTTCCACACTCCTCAAAACCTCCTGAACAGTGGCCTTGCTGTTGGACGCAATTTATCATCTTACCCAGGATGCAAATGTAGTTTATCATCATACCCATGATGGAGAGCTTTTTGGTTGGACTGAGAACTTTACAGTACTTCTTGTATATACATAAGTAAATCAATAAGTCTATAAAGTAATGATGAAAAAAAAAAGCATTTATTGTATACAACAACTATTTTTCAGCATTATCATCTTCCTTATTAATGCATTTAATTCAGTGGTGAATATTAATCATATACATTCAATATTATACAGTGAAAATTTCAGATCAAAGTTCAGTTAATGATGATATGTCAAGCTACAAACTTATTGATTCACCTTCATACCTTTTATTTTGTTACAGGTTTATCCCTTGTTTCCTGTTTAGGATTGGATTTCTAGTTTCTTCCAACATCTACTTCAACTTTATACTTCTAACGTCCCCACCTAAACTCTGAAATTTTATTTACTATTTATTTTACTTACTAGGAGTAGATGGGTTCACCTATCATCTGGTTCCCACTCCTCTCCAGTCTTTTGAACAGGAGTAGAGGTTTATCCCTTGTTTCCTGTTTAGAATTAGGTTTTCAGTTCCTTATAAATTCTTTTCATTTTCTTTCAATCCCTTGCGTCTTAGTAGCAGTATAGACTTGCTTGAGGTGAATTGATTAAAAAATATATAAAAACAAGATTTGACCCAAAAGTATCTATTTTGAATATTTCAAGAACTGATTGGTTGGCCTCAAAATTTGGCAACTAGGGAGAGGGGAACTAACAGCACATGTGTGAATAGATACTCTCCTTTGAGGTTACACAAACAGCTGTGAGTGAGTGAGCTCATGCAGTACATAGCCATCACATTTGCAATGACTGAGCAGTTAAAATAGCTCTCTCATACTTATTCTTTTTATTTATGGAAAGGGTTTCTTGGTCAAAAAAAAACAAAAACATTTTCAGTACTGTGTGTGTGTGTGTGTGTGAATATATTTTTTTTTCATTCATTTCACCCCAGGCAAGGCAATAATGCCACTAAATGCAAAGGGTTACTGAGTGTTAGAGAATATGAGAAAATAAAGAACTAGACTGAAGATTTTTCCACAGTAGGTTCCCATTTCTGTCCTGCTATTCAACCCATAGCAAAGCGTTATTGAGCATGAAAGAATGAGAAAAAGAAAAACATTATTAAGGAGAGAAAACAAAAAAAAAGAACAGGAATTAAGAAGACAGAAGATAACAATTGACACTGAATTTAAATTCTGGAAGGTTAAAGTTGACTGGCAAGAAAGAAGCCAGAAGAGAGTTCCACAAGCGAAAAGTGCAAGAAAATTACCATGAAAGTATGTATAGAAAAGACAGAGGGAAGCCATATTATGTTGGTTGAAAAGTGACTGAGTCTGAGATGCCAGGTCAGGACCAATAATATTGCATATTCTTCTTTGGATTTTATCAAAAATTTCTAAATATATAGGAGGAGAACCAAACCAGATGTGGCAACAATATTCAAGCAAGGATGAATAGTAGACTTATAAATACATAAGATAAATTCCAGCAAGAAAAAATGTCTAGCACAACACAGGGAACCTATATATATATATATATATATATATATATATATATATATATGCATGTGTGTATTTCATAAGTTTGACAATATGTATAAAAGATACAGATTAAATTCAAAATGTTTAGATTTAGGAATATTTGGATAAACTGCACAGAATGAAAAATACAAAATGTTCATGTAGTTCATGTAAATACACCATTTTGTTAAAAAATTTAACTTTTCTTTCCACAGCTTTTTCTCTTAAATTTATCTCCACTTACCTTACAAAATATTGTTTTTAATATTTCTACCAAGCTCATGTATTGTATTTTTTTTATTTCTTTGTTTCACTTCTATTTGCAATTAAATCATTCCCATTTGAAATGCCTCATCTTTTTATATAAATGCCATCACTCACTTTATTGTCTTCCTATTTTTAAAGATCTTCTTTCTAACAATATTATGGTGTAAGCTTTATCTGTGCTGGCAAAAAGCTTGAACCATTTGACATCTCCTTTTCTGTTTTCTTTCAGTGTATCAAGCCTGTTTTTTGTGGAGGGAAGGATGGGAAGGGTTCCAAGTTTTTCCTTATAACAAGAGTCTTATCTCTGACAACATTTAAGTTGCTTTTCTTTTTTTTAATCTTCTCAACATCCCTCTTAAAGAGGAAATCACAGCAGCCATTTTATATGTATGTGTTTGATAGTGTGTTGTACATTCATCTGTACTGTTTCACCTTTTCTACCATAGCACTGATTACAGAGCATTCACTTCACAAGGATTCCTTCAATTATATGTTAGACGCAGAAACAATGAAGGTTCAAATTTATACATTATAGATTTTAGAAGTATATGATTGATGAGAAATGTATCAAAGTTTGCTTTCCTTCTCATACTGAGATAATATCAATTAATGAAGAATGCATGTTGAAGTCATTCTACTAAGCAGTTTCTAGTTTGCTTTTTTCACTAATCTGATTAATATAAATTTAGATTTTTTTTATCTTTAAGCTTATAAGCAGGCATTTAACATTCAAACATGTCTCTTATACCTAATCACTTGCAGTTAGTTGCAAAAACATCAAACAGCAGAAATATATATATGCATACAGACATACCTACTTATAATTATAATTTAATATGATTATATAGATTTTATGTCTATATAATGATGTTATCCTATTTACCAAAACAAAAATATCATTTTGCTAAATAATTTAATGATCAACAATGGTATTTATAAAGACAAATCACAAAAATATATGATTTATTTATGATGGCTAACAAACTCATTTACAGACTAATTTGCTAATTATTTACAGTCAGGCTAATGTCCTCATTTTTGTTGTTATTATTACAACATTTCAGCTGTTGTGCCATATGGCCTTCATCAGGTGTCTGTCGATCTGGGTATACTTCAGGGTATTTTCCAATTGAACCCTTTGTTATTTCAATTATTTACAGTCAGACTAATCTTCTCATCTTTGTTGTTATTATTACAATATTTCGGCTGTTGTGCCAACTAGCCTTCATCAGGTGTCCGTTTATCTGGCTAACATTCAGGATATTTCAAACTGATCCCTTTACTTAATCTACAGAATTAGATTGTTCCTGTTCTGCTGTCTGTGTTTAGTGATACTTCATCTTACTTAGTTTTTAATTCTCAGTTCTTTCCCACTGCATTTTCACTGAACCTGAGTTTGTATTTCTCAGGCCAGGAATTGAACTCACAATGACTATACCACCAATAACATGAACCAACCCTTTAATCCTCTCAGCTATTGTCAAGATGAAGATAGTAGTCTAACCATAAATAATATGAATGATGATAACTCGTCATTCCAAAAATTCAGACAAAAAATAAATTCTTAATGTTAATTTATCCTTATCAGCAGAAATGTAGTTCTACAGAAGCATACTGAGAATTCCATGGATGGAGCAAGTAAAAACAAGGAACTCTTAAAGAAAATAGCAACAGAAAGAACACTTGTATCCAAAATCAGAAAAAGTCAGTTAAAATTCTTTGGGCATAGAGAGGAAGGAGGGCTTGGAAAACAAAACCCTCAGGGGTATATTGAGGGTAGGATATAGAGGAAGGCAGCAAGTCATCTACTTGTGTCTATGGCTAGCAGAATGAAGAGTGGGGGGTCTTAGCAAAGGGAAAAAATGCTAAGTGCTCCATGAGATAGGAAGTTGTGGAAAGCCATGATCATCTATGTCCTGAAGAGATGTGGCACATAGAAGAAAAAATT